CAACGAAAATAATTTTATGGTTGGGTCACAACATGAGGAACTGTATTTAAAGGGCCAGAAGGTTGAGAACCACTGTCTTAGACTAAAATATAAGGTGTATGTGACTAATTTATTTCTTTATCCTCAGCATTTAGCATAGTATCTGCTACATAAGAAGTACTTAGTAAATGATTTATTTGAGCTATGGATGTCATTTGAGTGTTTATTGCAATAAAGTTATTAAAATAAACATCTCTGATGCATCCATGTTGAAAATTCAACCAACTCTTCAGTTTAAAAAAACAACAACACAATTTGCAGCTGCTAAATGCTTATTTGTTCTTTCTGAGTCACCAAAGGTCAGAAAATTATATCTCTTATCCCCAAGTGATATTCTTTTATTAACATCACCACCACCATCTTCTCCCTTTCTGAACTTTGCTTCCTCCTCAAGCTGCCTTTTCCATCTGGGAGGCTGTCTGGGGAGGGAGCCAAGTATGTCATAGCAGCAGGGGAGGTTCTACAGACTTCCTAGTGTTAAAAGGGGAAACAGACTGAGCCTCAAGCGCACAGCAAAGGCAAGGGAGGAGAGCAGGAAGACAGTTCACAAGTTGAGCCAAGCTTGCATAGAGGCACTGAGGCTGTGCCTGGCAATATTCGAGTGACTGGAGATTCAAGGTAACTACTCCATTAATCCCCTTACCTTTCCTTTCCAGCCCACAGCTTGTGGAATTCTGGAGCTTCTGCATTTGAGCTGGGGATGCGCATGACTGTGTGTTCTTTCTGTGTGCTGAGACAGGACTGATGTGAAACCTGCCTAGAGACCCACAAGCAGGCAAGTTTCTTCCCTGAAAGGAAATTCTGAAAATTCACATTTCGTTTCATCATTTGGTTGTTTGTCTTTATTTTGAGTTGGTAAAGCATCTGGGTACTAGCATTTCATTTTAGGAACAGACAAAAAGCCATCCATCAAGCCACTTGTAGGGGCTAGGAATGCTGCGGAGGGTTTTCTCCTTCAAGTAGGAAAAGACACTTTCTTAATTCTTATTAAAGTTGTTGTTTCCTCTTGCTTACACTTCCAGTTCAGCTGTCACTACTTTGCTTTCTTGAATCAATTTGAACTGGAACAACATAAAAGGTGTAGACCACACTTCAAATGAACATTGATGGGTTCATTTTTATAAGTGAGTGTATTTTTTAATGCAGACTGGTCAAAAGAGGAGAAAGTAAGAGGGAAAGAGAGAAGAGAGGAGATATTAGGACACAGAGCTATAAGGGTTAATAAAGTTGGAAATAGGTCATTTATGAACTCATTTCCTTAGAAAATGCATCCTTCTCATTTTCAGGTAGAAATCAGGGGTTTTGATATATCTGACTTTGTTTTTCTTTTAAAAATGCTAAATGTTGGTTGAAGGATTCTTTGACTACAAAAGCAAGTGATGCACTAGCTACTTTCTCCAGCGTCTTTGAAACATTGAAATATAAAGTTCAGCTTTTCCTGGCTTGGAGCATACAGCTGGGTTGAACATGTCATCCTCTGATTTAAACTATTTACCTTTCACATCTTCTCTTTTCATTTCCTCCTTGAAGAGATTTTTACTTCTTTGATCTACTGAGAGCAGCTAACCACAAGCCATTATCAGCCTGAGGTTTATGTGCAGGAGGGAAAAAATGAGACATTACAGGGTATGTCCCAAACAAGCATTGAAAAGACTTGAGGAAAGGTTAGATTGAATGAACAATTATTTGGCTTCCTCTTCAGTAAGCTAGCTGAACAGGAAACACTGGGATGGGGGAAGGAAGGGAAAATATTTGAAGACTTTTATATGCAAAATATATTTTTACATTAAAATACATGCAAAACAGACGAGAAATATTCCTGTTTGGGAAATGTCCTTCCTGACTTCATGCTATGATAATACACCAGAGGCTCTTTTGAGTTGGACATTTTTTCATTATTGGGAGAACCGCCTCCATTTTTTTTACTTTAAAACAACTTGAAATTCCTAGCTTTCAGGAGTAGTTTTATGAATGCCTTTCAGAGTAAAATTTCTTTTTTAAAATATCTTTTTGTTGATTTCAGAGAGGAATGGAGTGGAAGAGAGAGATAGAAATATCAATGATGAGAGAGAATCACTGATCTGCTGCCTCCAGCAAGCCCCCCATTGGGGACCTAACCTGCAACGTGGGCATGTGCCTTGATCGGGAATCCAAACCGTGACCTCCTGGTTCATAGGTCGACACTCAACCACTGAGCCACGCCAGCCGGGCTAGAGTGAAATTTCTATTTATGGTTTAAAACATGGTTGTGGTTGTGCCACAGGGGTGTGGCAGTTAAGGATATACTGCAGTTCTAGTCCTAAATTTTTCCCTTTTGACTTCTTCCTACAGAAATAAAGGTTCTGTCCTTAGGATTTAGCTAAAAATCCTCTTGTAACGTGAGAGGCAAAATAGACTACCCACCTTGACTCCTCAAGCTGAATGTGACTCTGATTCATAGGATTTTAAACCATCAGTTGACTTGAGTAGAGAAAGTAACTTTAAAGCATCAAGAAAGAATAATCTGAAATAAGAAGGTATCAACTTTACACTGCTATTTTTCACCTGCTTAATTGTGTTATAAAATGATCTTTTTCTACAGTGAGAAACAACTATCTTTGATTTTTATTACTGTTTTTAGAGGGAGTATATAACAGCTTTTTTGCATTCAGAAATTTGCAAGGTTTAGTATATGTATATTTCTGGTTTATATATTCACACATCTACTCAAAATGAATTTCTATAAATGGATTTATACTGTGAAGTTATGAAAGGAATGAAATTGATATCACATTTGTTTGTTGGTGGTTTACTCATCTATATATATAAAAGCCTAATATGCAAAGTGTCCCCTCAGGAGTTTGATGGACCAGGAGTTCAATTGCTTGCTATGACGTGTGCTGACCACCAGCGGGTGGCGTGGAATGAAGGAAGGCTGGCCAGCAGCCGGCAGCCGGGGAATGGAGGCACCGGCAGGCAGGCAGCAGCTGCCTAATTACCTGTGCACTAATTTCATGCACTGGGCCTCTAGTCATTCAATAATTGCTTACTATAAGCTCACTGCTTACTAGGCTCACAGTGCTGGGAATCCAGAGATTTCTAAGTCAAGATACTATGTGACTTGGAGGTTTTTTGGGATGGACAATAATATAAATAATTATTGTGTGCTGTATAATAAGTCCTCTAAGAGATATTTCCAATCTGAAGCAATAATAAAGGATATGAAGGGATGGGGGGTGGGCAATTCAACAGGATGTTTTATTTTAGCAGAATCTTAACGGATCATTATAAGACTTCTAGCACCATAACCAAATGAAGGATCTTTCATTGCTTGACCCAAGATAAACTAAGGGAGCCAGTGTAACCCACCATCTATTATATACTTACTATATGATAGGCATTGTGTTAAGTACTTCAAATACATTATACTTTGTATAATTTCCTCCTCATCTTATGAATCTTGTTATATCCACTTTCTCGATAAGAAAATCAAGGCTCATAGAGAATAAATAACTTGTCCAAAGTTACCCGGCTTGTAAATGGCAGAGGTGGGATTAAAACTCAGAACTTCCCAAAGCCACTATGCTATAACATTTCTCAAGAAGGGACAGGGAGGTTGGGGTAGGTAGAGTAAAAGGGGACATTTTGGGCAGAAGAAATCATAAGTTAAAGCAATGTAGAAATAAAAAAGTAGGTGAGTCTGATGGGTTTAGATTCAGTAGCTAAAGTTTAGAGTCATTTTGGGGGCATCAAAGGGAAAGATAGTTGGAATCAAAGCCCAGGAATAAGGCAAAGACCAATGTGGAACTTCTCATATACTGTATTAAATATATTTGAACTTCATTCTCTAGACTTTGAGAAGCCTTTGACAGTGTTTATACAAGGAAGGCCATAATCAGTTTTGCATTTGAGAAAGATAATTCTAGTTATCGTGTGAAGGGTGAATTAGTAAGTGGAGACTAAAAACACTAGTTTGTATGAGGAATTATAATGAACTGCATCTGCTTCTTCCTTTGAGAAATGAGAATTGCAATAGTTACTTCATTCGATTATTAGAAATATTAACTGAGTCATCACATTAAAAGAGATCCAAGCCAGGCTGGCATGGCTCAGTGGTTGAATGTCCACCTATGATCCAGGAAGTCCGGGTTTGATTCCTAGTCAGGGCACATGCGTGGGTTGTGGGCTCGCTCTCCAGTGTGGGGCGTGCAGGAGGCAGTCGACCAATGATTCTCTCTCATCATTGATGTTTCTATTTTTCTCTCCCTCACCGTTCCTCTCTGAAACCAATAAAAATACATTTAAAAAAATAGATCCAAAAAGACTGGCATATAGTAAGTGCTTTTTAAATGTAAGCTATTGTTACTATGTTACCAATACTACTGTTATTATATTATGTAAAAGAGTAGAAAACCAGAGTAAAAAATGAAATGAAATTTTCAAGTTTAATAAAGAAATATGAGGAGGAGCTTAATCTTGAGACTTGAATTGATCTTTGATGCCAAGGACCAGAAGGGGAAAGGTATGGGCAAAGGCAACAAGAACTGAACATATTATAGACAGGCAATAATACCCACACCATTTTTGTAGATGTAAAGAGGTCTTGACAGATACAATCAATTAAGGACATGGACACTGGAGTCCTACTGCTTGAGTTTGTATGCCACCTGAGACACTTATTAATATTGGGCAAGTTATTTACCAGTTTCTTCATTAGAAAAATAAAGATAATATTTGTACCCACTTTATTGACTAAGAACAATACCTGGCACATAGTAAGTCCTATGTAGTGCTAGGTATTCTTATCATTAATCAGAGAAAAGAACTCGTTTATAGATAGTTTTGAGTTCCAGGATAAGAGTTTTAGATTTGATCTTTAGGCAAAGTGGAGTCACTGACAATTTTAAACAGGGAAGAAGGTGATATAATAACAACTGATCTGGTAATAGAATGTAGGATATTTTTTGGAAGTTGGGGCAGGGGGTAGGGCAGATGTGGATGGATCTCAGCTAGAGATGGACAAATCAATAGTGCAGAGTGAAGAACAGAAGTGGCAGTGGTAATATGTATATGCAAGTGACATCATAAAGGAATAATTTCTAGGTTAGTGAGGAATACACATGAGGTCATTAAGGTGACTCTAAAGTTTCTAAATCTCCAGGTTGAAGACCGGGAAAAGTGTGATATTATTGCCAGGGGAAAAAATCATAAAATATGGCCTGTTTTGGCTGGAAAAATAAAACAAAGATCATTAAAATAACTTAGATTTTTAAAAAATATATTTTATTGATTTTTTACAGAGAGGAAGGGAGAGGGATAGAGAGTTAGAAACATCGATGAGAGAGAAGAAACATCGATCAGCTGCCTCCTGCACACCTACTGGGGATGTGCCCACAACCCAGGTACATGCCCTTGACCGGAATCGAACCTGGGACCTTGCAGTCCGCAGGCCGATGCTCTATCCACTGAGCCAAACCAGTTTGGCAAAAATAACTTAGATTTTAAAAAACACTTTCACATACATGAGTGTGGTTTGGAAAATGATGAATTCAAGGTACTGCTGGTACACTCAGCAAGCAGTTGCCAATAGTGAACTGAAGCTTATGAGAGAGGCTAGGATTTTGTAATCATATATGTAAATGTAATAGTTGGAAAAGCTTAAAAGGATGATTTCTCTGAGGGAGAGATTAGATAGAAAAAACCCCACAGTTTTGAGGCTTGCACAGTCACAGTTTAGGATGGTTTGAGAAGCAAGATAAGCCAGTGGCAAAGATGCAATTGGAATTGACTGCGAGGTAAGAAGATGCTCAGCAAAGTCTAATATGGACAACTAGAGGCCCAGTGCATGAAATTTGTGCACTCGGGGGGTGGGGGTGGTGGTGTCCCTCAGCCCAGCCTGGGCCCTCTTGCAGTCCGGGAGCCCTTGGGGAATGTCGGACTGACGTCTTAGGCCCAAGTGGGCCTAAGTCATCAGTCAGACATCCTTAGCGCGGCCACAGAGGCAGGAGAGGCTCCCACCACTGCTGCTGTGCTTGCCAGCCCTGAGCCTGGCTCAGGGCTTCTGGCTGAGTGGTGCTCCCCCTCTGGGAGTGCACTGACCACCAGGGGACAGCTCCTGCATTGAGCATCTGCCCCCTGGTGGTTAGTGTGCATCATAGCGACCGATCATTCCACTGTTCAGTCAATTTGCATATTAGTCTTTTATTATATAGGACTAGAGGCCCAGTGCATGAATTCATGCACTTTGAAAGGAACTGTGGGCTGCAAGGCTGCGGTGGGGACAGGGGCGGGTCTCAGCCCATTCTCTGTGCCCCTGCCCGGCCCCTCCCACCATGGCCCCCAGTCCCCTGTCTGCCAACAGCCCCACTCCCAGCACCGCCGCTCCCACGCTCTGATGGCACTGGCCCCGCTTTCACCCGCTGACAGCGCAGAGCGATTGGGGCCAGCTCCAGCACCAGGTGTGAGTGAGGCCAGTGCCATCAGCAGGTGCGAGCAGCGGCTGCTGCCCCAATCGCCCCTCAGGAGCACAGGAAGGGAGAGAAGCCCTCAGGGGCAATTGGGGCTGGCAGCCACCACTCGCACCCCCTGATGGTGCCGAGGAATCGGGACTGGTGCCAGGCACTGGCAGCGGGTGCAAGCAGTGGTTCTAGCTCTGGCAGCGGGTGGGAGCGGTGGCTCCAGCGCTAGCAGTGGGTGTGAGCGGGGCTGTCACTGGCAGCGGGTGTGAGAGGCGGCTGCCAACCCCAATCACCCCTTAGGAGCAGGGGGAGGTGGAGTGATTGGGGCCAGCACTGGGCACCAGCAACAGGTGCGAGTGGTGGCTCTAGTGCTGGCAGCGGGTGTGAGTGGGGCCAGTGCCAGCAGCAGGTGTGAGCGCCGGGAGGGACCACAGTGCACAGGAGCAAAGAATTTTCAGTAACCACGAGAGGCTTGCCCTGGTGACAGCAACTGGTGCCCCGCCTTGGTCTGGTGCCCCTGCTCACCTGCTTCACCATTTCACCATGGCCGATGCCTGCCATGTTCTGCGTTCTGCCACCTGCTGTCAATGTCCTTCATGTTCCGCACGTGCCCCCTGGTGGTCAGCGCACATCATAGTGACTGGTTGTTCAGTTGTTCGGTTATTCCGCCATTCAGTCTGTTGGCATATTATAATCCTATATATCCTATATAATAAAAGCCTAATATACTAATTGTCCCATTGGACGGTGGTTCGACTGGGAGTTTGACCGGGAGACCAGGAGTTCGACTGCTCACTATGATGTGCGCTGACCACCAGGGGGCAGCGCGGACCATGGCAGGTGCCAGTGACGTGCTGCGACCTCTCACTGGCTACCTGGGGGCGGGGGGGATGGAGACGGAAGTGCAGTGAGAATGCAGGGTGTCCGCTGAGCTCACTCTCACTCCCCCTGCTACCCTCCCCTGGGACACCAGGGCTCGAACGCCAAGGAAGCTCCCCCCCAACCCCCCCGCGGTCAGGTGCCAGGCGCCTGTGAGGAGACTGACCCACACCCGTATGTCCTCTTCCGGGTGAGCTGGGCTGCAGCCACCGGGACCGCAGGGGCCGGTCGGGCTTCCTGTGGGTTCGTGCAAGAGCCCGGTCTGTGAGGCCGGCTGGGAGAGAGTGCACTGCCCGATCAGCTTCCATGTGGCATCGCTGGGCAGCTCAGAGGCCCACACTGCCTCAGCCCACAGCGCCTGGCCATGCTCACTGCATTTCTGTGTGGGAACTCGGACGCTGTGACTCAAGCTGAGGGGGGCATGTGGGGGCCCGGGGGCCCAGGTGCTGCCCAGAGAGCAGCTGGGACCTGCCCTTCCACGCCAGGTGCTCATGCTTTGATCACTGGCAGGCCTAGGGACTGCACCCATGCATGAATTTCATGCACCAGAACTCTAGTATAGAAATAAAGGAGAATGGGGAGCAAAGAAAGGTGATGAGCACACCATGTTTTTTGTTGGAAACAGTGGTTCTAGTAAAATGGTAGGGGCAGAAGTTGGGATATAAAAGTGAGGAATGAGTGGACATTTGAGAAGGTACTAAGTTATGGTCTTACGATAGTTGCCTATATTCTTTATTTTATAATTAATTTTCTCATACTGCAACAAGGTATCACTTTATACCCAGTAGAGTGGCAAAATTTAGAAATCTGGATAATGCCAAGTCATGGTGGGAATGTGAGGATTAAGTAGGAATGCAGACAAAGGACATTTTAAAGAGCAATATGTCACTGATTAGTCAAATTAGGTATATACATACAGTGTGACTCAGAAATACTACTGCTGGCTATATAGCCTAAATGCGTTCTCTCACAGGTTCATAGGAAACATGTACAGGAGCATAAATTGGAGCAGGGAGTTAGAGGCAATCTGGGTGTCTGTCACTGACAGAGTAGATAGTAAAACATAGTGGGTGCATACCATGAAGTATCATGTCACAGTTAGAAGCAGGAGATTAGGTATACATATAGCAACACGAAGGAATTTGAGCACTATAGTGCTGAGTGTGAAAAGTGTATAAATATGTATAAATGAAGACTGAAATGTATGATGCAATAACATCAAGAATATATATGCACAGAATATATATACACTAAACATCAGAATGGCAGCCTATGGTGGGACCAGGAACAGGAATGGGAATGGACTGAGAGTAAAATAGAATAACCAAAACAAATAAACAAACACCACAAGAAAGTCCCTGCATGGACTATGATAACATGCCATGAATTGAGGATTGTGATCATTTGATACACCCAACATTCAGAAGGACATTAAAAATATAATTGCAAGGCCAAATGATGTGCGATTTTTCTATTCTGCCATTCTCAAGTTAAAAATAGATAATGGTTTGCTTGATTTTCTTGGTATATAGTGTGTCTGAGTGCAGAAAATTAATGTTTATAAACAGAATCCCCATACTGAAAACTTTTACTTAGAACCAATGTCTTTTGCTTCTGCAGATCAATATGGCCATGCCAGAGAAATCAAGTTGTACCAAATCAAGCAAGGATTTCAGTCATTTTCCCGAGATTGTTGAACTCAATGTGGGTGGTCAGGTGTACATCACTCGCTATCCTACTTTGGTCAGTGTTCCTGGCTCCCTGCTCTGGGAAATGTTCAGTGAAAAGAATCCTTGCTCCCTAATCCAGGACAACAAAGGGAGGTTTTTTGTAGACCGGGATGGTTTCCTCTTTCGCTATGTGCTAGACTACATGAGGGACCGGAAACTAGTGCTTCCTGACCACTTTCCAGAGTGTGGTCGGCTCCAGAGAGAAGCAGAATACTTCAAGCTACCAGAGTTAGTGAAGATGTTGGCTCCGAAAATCAACATGATCAACTCAGTTGCCAATGATTTATGCCAAAGTGATCTAGAAGAGCTTTCCACCAACATTGACATCGCCTGTAATCTCTCTTCAAGTAATAACATCCAAGTTAGTGGCCCTGATAACCCCCCAGCTCTGACAGCAAATACTGGCTCTGACCTCAAGAAGGCAGGTTTCATCACTATTGGCTATCGAGGCTCCTATACTCTGGGTCGGGATAGCCAAACAGATGCCAAATTCCGCCGCGTGGCCCGAATCATGGTGTGTGGTAAGATCTCATTGGCCAAAGAAGTATTTGGAGATACTCTGAATGAGAGCAGAGACCCTGACCGTCCTCCTGAGCGGTACACTTCTCGATATTACCTCAAGTTTAACTTTCTGGAACAAGCCTTTGACAAACTAGCTGATGCTGGCTTTCACATGGTAGCATGCAATTCCACTGGCACCTGCACTATCACCCATGACCAGACAGATGACAAGATCTGGACCTCTTACACTGAATATGTTTTCTGCCGGGAGTGACACTTAAAAGAAATCACCCAGAAAATACAAACCAAACAGCGAACTCTCTCTCTCTCTCTCTCTCTCTCTCTCTCTCTCTCTCTCCTCTGTTCCTGTGCAGCTATACCTTTTAGAAATAAACAGATTAATTTTGGATCTACAAATCTTGGACAATGCCATTCTCTTCACCGTAACCATTTGAACTTTTGTTGGTAACTTCCTTCTTACACATTCCATCCTATCTGGCTTCCAACCGGCCTTGGATTGTGGAGTTGGATGTCATTTCATGGAAAGTATTCAATGCGTAGGCATATGTGCATGTACATCACTGTAAATAGTAGAGGTGTATTTCTTGAGTGAATGCAGTTAGATAAACCCACAAGATTTAGTTAGTTAGCTGAGAAATGCTAAGCCATGGTTTCCAAACTAGTTCTCAGCACCACATCTTGGAATTGCTTATATACCTTGCTGTTTGTATGCTCCTAAAGAAAGCTCCATGTACACTTGTTCTGAAATCGAGACCCCTACAGTAAATGTGAATATGCTTTGTAAACTGTTATTGCTATTCTTTTTGTCCAGATGGAATGGAAGAAACTGGCAGGCATCTTCCAGGAGGTTCATAGAAAGGCCAATCAATTCTATGATTATTAATTATTCTTATTAGAAGATGGATGTAAAGAGAGCAGCCAACATAAGTAATTAATGCCAAGAATAAGAGTCTTAGCACTTAAATTGCCTTTACTTGGAAAGGAGAGTGAGGGTGAGCATCATGACTATTACACAGGCATAAGTAGGTATGCTCCTTTAAGACTGCATCAAAATATCATTTTATTTATTTGAATTGAAACACAAAAGCATGTAGCTAAGAGAAGGTTAAGCAAAGAATTGCTTTCTACAAATACATATGTGTAGTAGTTTGGTTTTCACTAAGTTAAATATTTGGATGTATGTCAACTGTTAACTTTTGGTGGAGTGTGTGTGTGTGTGTGTGTGTGTGTGTGTGTGTGTGTGTGTGGTGGGAGTGGGAGAAGAAATAGGAGGAAGATGAACAGAAGGTGAACTTTTGAAAAAGGAAATAAAAATTTATCTTCTGGAATCCCTACTAATGACCTTTATTATACAGGTTGAAAGAAAAACCCTCATATGAAAACACCTTAGTTTGATTCAAATTATTAGATTGCTGAAGAATATGAGACAAGTCAAGAAAAAGAAACTGAGGGCTCATTTTCAAAAACCTTTATCTCCTCTGAATAGCTTTACAGCAAGTCAATGATCAAATGGCATTCAGGTTCCTTTATTTCTTCCTTGATGCCTTACATTTACTCCATGTCTCTATTGTACTTATTATCTTTTGATTTATTTTCTAGTTGGGACTCTGGGTTGCAAGGAACTAAAACCCATTCAATGTGTCTTGAGAAAAATAAAAAGTACATGTGTCAGGGGTGTGAATGGGTGGACATTCTATAAATGTGCCTGTCCTGCTGAGTGCAAGGACAAAAAATGAAGTCCAATCAAATTTCGAATGATCTGGGGAGATATCAGGAACTGATGTTCTATCTTGTCTGTCAGAGGGCATTTGACTTTTCCTTTGGTCATCTGAATTTGTCAGTTGTATATTTTTCTCTCTACATCTTAGGATCACCTTTTTCTCAGCTTGTACCTGCCATAAAACAGACATGTCAGCCCTTCCATGAGCATGAATTTTCAGCCATTCTCTCCATAGTTAACTTCCTTACTGACCCCCTAATTCAAAAAATCCCAATCAGCTGTGGCTTAAGAGAGAGAGTCTGAATGGGTGGAAGGCACTGTGAGTGTCGGCAACCAAACAAAGGACTATTATCAACATTTCTAGATGGATTACTCCCTATGCCTGACACATAGTAAACAATAAGTGTATAACATGTAAAAGACTCATTGATGAGTATTTCCAAAGGTCTCAGGGTCCGGATTGACTGTTCATGGAAGTGATGATTTTTAATGTGGTCAGGGGCCATCTTTCATGATCTTCCAATCTAGCTTTGCTAATACCCTTCTGATAAGTTAGTGCCCTAGAGGGGCAACATTTTAGATGCTATAGAGAGGTGTTTCCCAAACTCAGTCATTTGTGTACCATTCTTATGGTTTTTACGATTCCTATATCCCTTGTGCACTGTTAATCTAATCTTTTAAAAAGTGAGCTAATAAGTCCAGTTTCAGTTTTATTTAAATACATTCAATAGCTCTATCCACTCTGACATATTTCTGGTATGCTCCAGGCCTCAGTGGTTTTGTTGTGCAGTAGAGAGGAGGCTATCTTTTGTCCTATGTTATATGTATACCACAGTTAAGCCATAAGGTTAGAGAGATTTGCAACGGTGACCTGGTGCTTCATGCCTTAGGCTCGGCCTCTTAGAAATGTACTTAGAAAAGATTTGTAACCCAATTTAGAACCAGGACTACTGCTCTACTCACTTTTATTCTGTCATCAATGTACTGTCCTCTTGGGTTCAAATTAATTCCAAAACACTGTATCATTTGTTCTTCAAATTATAATTGTATTAGCCCAATCAGATTACTCTCCTATCACCTAGCAATAAAGTAATGGGGGAACCAGAGGGAATAAATTGTAATAATCTCTCAGATTGTGTAGTTCATTAAGAAGTTGGAACATAGGATGGCTCACAGGCTAAATAAGGGGATATCTCACTGGGTAGGCAAATGATTACATATTAGTTTTCATTTGAGAGTCACTAGTGTGGTTGATGTTTATAAATAATTGCTCAAACTATAGTTAATATTATAAATGACTTTCTATCAAGGCTGTTGTGTTGGAGGCACCAGAAACTTGAGTCTGGTCGATACTACAGAAAAGAAATGATCCTTCCAGAAATTCTGTTAACTAGTTAAATTTCAGAACCACCTGTGCCCATCCTGCTGGAATGAGGGATACCATTGTCAATAATCACTAGGTCAAACAGAATTTATACAGCCTGGATGAAGATGATGACGTTGCAGCTCCCATTCTTAGTAAACAGATGAAATTCCCAGCCTCAGGCAGCTTACTCCACCACATGCCCGAGCCGAACATTTCTAAGCTTTCCATATCCAATGCCCTCCCTCTCGCCAAAGTGGTTCAGAATGATGCGTACACAGCTCCTGCTCTCCTCTTCTCGCTTGGAACAAAAGCCTTGACCAGCAGGTCCTGGACACGACTGAACCAGGAGGATTCCCCTAAAGAGCTGCTGTCTGCTGAGCCCGTGGTTAGCACTTTGGAAGGCACCAAGATGACTGTGAATAATCTGCACCTTAGAGTCACCAAGGAAGATACTGTTGAGATTTCTGTGTATGTGGAGCCCTGAAGCAGCTCGACTGGTCCATTCTGGGGCAGCAGAAATGGTCTTTGTTAAAAAGGATGATGGAATTGGAGAGCATTATGCTAAGCGAAATAAGCCAGTCAGAGAAAGATAAATATCACATGATCTCACTCATTTGTGGAATATAATGAACAACATAAACTGATGAACAAAAACAGATCCAGAGACACAAGCATTGATCAGACTGTCAAACCTCAGAGGGAAGGTAGAGGAGGGTGGGGGTAAGGGGGAGAGATCAACCAAAGGAGTATGTATGCATATAAGCCTAACCAATGGACACAGACACCAGGGGG